AAGGGTAAGAGGTGGTCAGTGGTGCAGGGATGGAGAAAACCATGAGGGACGGTCGAGAACCCGAGAAAACCCCTTTTTGCTCGTTGATTTTGATGACTTTCATCTCTGCTGCCCTCTTTAAGAAAACGCTCTCTCTGCTATGTGGCTGGAGTCAAACGGCGAGGGGTTACCTATAGGAGGCATGCAGAGGCCCGAGCGGCGCGGCTACGGTCCTGGTAAGCCGCTGGGTTCATACTGTTGACTGCGAAACCGTTCGGGAACCCGCCTGCCTCTTGATTATGTATATTTCCACTTCTTCGACCTCCGACGTATCGTCAAACCCTCTTTAGAGACTAGCAAATGCTTCTATAATCCCAACTTAATGGCGGGCATGTGCAACACTCCAGAGTGATCGATATCGGCTACATCATTTGTGTCTGATGGCCAATATTTTTAGCGACAACGCGATGAGGCCGAGCGGCGATCGCGTGTCATGACGAAATCACAGCAGCAGGACGGAATCATGCGCGAATTGACGGAACGTGTCGGCAACGGAAACGTTGCTAAGCGGCAGCGTGGTAAAATTGACAGTCAACAGATCGGTCACGGCGATTTTGAAAAATTGATGAGTGGTAGGTTGATCGACCATATCTTAGGTTTTTATGCTACTCTTGCTTGTTTTATCCCTCATTCCCATTCGATTCAGGTCTCAAACAAACGTATGCGGTTTCACCGTCGCCGTCTGTCCCCACGCCATCACGACGGAAAGTCAGCGCCTAGTCCGTCTCCTGCACCACGAGTTGGACCACCTGTAGCTGCCAAAACCCGTGTAGTGGCGGTGGACCGCGATAGGCAATGAGAAAATTCCGTAAATTGGATTTTTCTTTTTGTGGTCGTTTTTCCTTCAATATTGTCAATTCATGTACATCTTTTCGTTCTGGTCCACCACAGGATTGTAATAATACAAGTCATCGGTTTAATGAAGTCAGTTTTCGTCTTCCTTCCTTTATCCCCGCCTATCTACGGGTCGCCTAGCGAATTATGCGCCAAATTTGTATTGAGGTAATCTTTGGGCGACTTTCAAATGTTTTTTTTCTGTTTTTTGTCGATGTATAGGTTGCATTCCCGGTACTACTGCGGCTATACATATTGAATTATGGGCTACGGTAGCCTCTGAAGTTTTAGATAATTTTTGTTTGTATTTAATTTGTTTTCTCCATGAGAATACCAGACAAAGAAGCGTGTTAAAACAGTCAATTCATTGTCGTTGTGGTGCCCAGAAAGTATCGCCCTATGATGTGATGTGATATCGGAAGCATTTTTTTCTTGAAAATAGCACTTCAGCCTCCCTCACGCTGCATGAAGCATTTCAATCGATTTCTATGTTTTCTGTGCGTAATCGTAGTTGTTATCGTATCTGCCGTTTGTCAGTGGTTTTTGCCTGCATCTCTTTATTGGAATGCGCAGTCTTTTTAGACCTCTTGTCATTAACTTGTTAATGAGATTATGATAGAGTTATTTAACTCGATTTTCATTTAATAAACTGAAGTATTAAATAGTTGTCCTTCTTCCGAGCAAATGTGCATTAGTACTTTCTACAAGGGCTCTACTTGAAGGTGATTTGAAAAGAAATGATGGATAGGGCGCAAAAATAGTGGTGGATAAGGCATTATATGTGGTGTTGATAGGACTATTTCTGAGGTTAAGCGTTGACTAACGACATGGCTGCTAGTTGGTTAAATAAAAATGTAGTGGTGTTTGAATGTGATTTGGTCAAAGCGAATGCTTGCAGGGGTAACTCGGTGCACAAGTCAGCGTTTCTGTCATCACTTCTAGTGCAACCTATACGCCGAGTAAACCGGTCGGAGGTTAGTGGTTACCGACTGTGTGAACAAATGTCGACCTTGGACATTGGAGTTCTGTTTCTCCTTAACACGTTGACGACATCGCGCGTTTTGGCATTTTTGGCCGCGTGGGACCAGAGCGGTTCTGCGAGCGCCGCCGCCTCACAACAAATCTGTGGATTTTGAGCTTTAAATACGCAATACTTCGATGCGACAAAATGTTTTCACTGATATTCGGTGTGTCAAACTTATTGGAAGGTACACATGTGAAAGTGCGGTCGAATGATGTGTTACAGCATTGAAAAGGCAAGTTTCACTTACTTTTGCTTTAGTGATTTCAAAATTATTTTGGACGTGGTTGTTTCGGTAAAAACACATATCTTGCCACACGAGTAGCTTTGTACTCACTTCTAATATTCTTTTTTATCTACATGTTCGTGTTAATGAAGAGAAAATGAGGAATGAACTGAACGGATATTTTCGTCCGGTCCGAAAAACCTCTGCCAAACTAAAGAATATTTGGTCATTCTATAAGCCGCGTGGTTCTTGGTTATGTTGTGGTATGGCCTAAAAAATGAACACAAAAAACCTGGGAAGAATGGCGCGTTCAAGAAAAAACTGAATGTAAAGGGTGTGGCAACTATAGTTGCCACAATGTCCATTGCGGCGTGCAAAACGCGGCAAACCTAGTTGCCGCGCTGTCGTCAAGGTGTTAAAGTGATCATTATCCTACCTCGTAGGGCACACCCAATCCACGATAAGCATTTGCCGTTGATCAATCCCTTTTGGGATGCGCGACCCTAGACAGGTTTCTACTTATCCATTTTGTAATTGTAGCATTCGTGGAGTGGCATTTGAATGCGACGCTGGCCTTATACGAGTGTCCTCTGCGGGGCCCAGACTTCCTAAGTGTACAACGAAGTCAGTGTTTTTTATCCTCCCAGACA